TTCTAACCCCACCCCTCCTTGTGGGAAGGCAGCATCGCTGTCATGCTGGTTGTCTGAAGGAAACAACTTACTGCCGTCACACCTCTGTACAGTCGGCAGTACGACTTCTCCTGCACACCTTGAGATTGCTGCTTTTACTCTCACCGCTCTTCAACCGACCTGTCTGGCATGGTAGGATCTTGAGGAACGATTGTTCCGGCCAGTATAGCTCGACTGGATCATCACGATAGGCAAGCCCGACCACCATGTCAAGGTAGCAGCAACCGTCGGGAGAAATAAACACCATCGGATACCGGATCAATGGTCTAGAGGTTAAGTGTTCTGGCGCAAGACTGGTAGGTCCTGGATTCGAATCCCGCGAGGCAGGATAGTGGATGCGCACTGCTGAGGAGTCTCACGGTGGGACGAAACGGCCTTCCAAGTTTTTCATGGTGGTCTAGCTTCAATTAGCTCACGCTTTCAACTTTTGATATGAATTTATTTAATCATCAAAATAAGTAAAACAGTGTCTGAATACACAACATTTTATATGATTTATTTATAGTCTGAGTAGTAATCAGACTTATATATTTTGAAATGAGTAGTATTTTCTGTCAATTGATCAATTATTTACAATACGAAGACATATTTACATAAACATACAGATCAATTTTCACATTAACTTGATTTTGCTTTTTTAGTTCTGTGATATCAATTGATTTCAACTAGATGAGACAATATTAATTATAGGTAAAGATGGATATTGGCTAACAGTGGAATCCAGGACGTGTGTTTCTTCCTATTTGAGACTCGTCAGCTGGATGTACCTGCATCTCATAGTTGATGTTCACTCTGGGACTCGAACCCAGTAACTTTTGCTTCGAATGCCATCGCGTTTTTTTCAATTAAATAGTTGAATTTTTCGTTTTATCACCTAAATATAATGAAAATGTTAAACTGATCAGTTGTTAGCAAATTATCCAAGTTGGTGATATTTAATTTATTTAAATGATGAATCGATGTAAGTTAAATGATCATTCGAAACCTGGAAATACTGGATGACCGTTTCGTTCTAGGATGGAACTCATCAGCACCGTACATCTACAGTTCCGCAGGCGGGAATGCAATCCAGGATCTTCGATCTCACACGCGAGCGCTTAACCTATAGACCACTAAGTCAGTATTTGACAGTGTTAATGTCAAAATTCAAACAATTCGCAACATCGTGCAACCATCTTATTAGTTTTTTAGTAAATTTAATTAACCATTGTGGTGTACTATTGTGGTGTGGTCTACTTATATCCATATAAGTAGTACATGGTGTGGGTCAGATATAGAATGTATTTTGGCAGAAGACCGATGACGAAAGAACTGGAATGAAGCGCAATCGTCTGGAAAATGCATGAGCAATGGAATTAGAGAAGAAACAGTGAAGATTGAAACAATTGGTTGTTAATTTGCAAATTGACTGTTCATTGTTTGGTAATCAGAATTTATTGAGATAGTCTGTAATCTTTGCTTAAATACATTCGATTGTCCCCAACTAGTGTTCATTTCACTACATTTGGTGTCGCTGCCAACCGGGAGGAGGAAGGGTGCTGTTCTGCGGACGCCGCTGCGGGTCTGGAGTTGAAGTGTTAGTTGGGGCAGTCCGGTGCGGAGAGTTGGCGTCGAGTGGAGTGTTCTGGCGGGGCGGCGTTGGCTGTAGCGGGTGCTGTCGACGGAGAGGAGCAGTGGGACGTGCGGCTGCTGGGCGGACAGCGGATGTAGATGGCTCAGCAGGCCGGTGGAGTACGGGTGTTGAACGTCCCAGGTGCCGGGTGGATGCGGATGTTGGTGCCCCGGCAGGTCGACGGAGCTATGGAGGTCAGCGCGCCGCAGACTCGACATTCTGACGGAGAGTTTGGCACAGACTGCAGTGAAAGAAGATAGTGGCGTGGCGAGCAGAACCACCGCATGAACGAATGCTTTAAAGGGGGGACGAGTGTGGTGTGGTCTACTTATATCCATATAAGTAGTACATGGTGTGGGTCAGATATAGAATGTATTTTGGCAGAAGACCGATGACGAAAGAACTGGAATGAAGCGCAATCGTCTGGAAAATGCATGAGCAATGGAATTAGAGAAGAAACAGTGAAGATTGAAACAATTGGTTGTTAATTTGCAAATTGACTGTTCATTGTTTGGTAATCAGAATTTATTGAGATAGTCTGTAATCTTTGCTTAAATACATTCGATTGTCCCCAACCGGTGTTTTGTTCACTACACTATCTATAATAGTTATTTGTGGTTGGGAGATTATAGGTCACTAATCCATGATACCTAAAGCTCATAGCCAATTGTTAACTATACACAATCATAAGATTTTATATAAACTGTACATAAACACGAAAATGTGAAATGGATAACTACAGGAAAATTTGTTGAACAAAAATGAAACGTGTCATCTTTAATATCCAACTGTTCATTCCTAAAAAAAATACCAAATCAAGTATGAATAGATAAATGACTTCGAATTTGTTTTTGAATATACACTGATGTTTTAAATGTTAATAAAAGGCATATAAAATATTTACACTTACAACAGCTACCAGAAACCTAATATCTTAAAATATATATAACTTACTCGATTTCAATATACAACATCATATGGGTATCAATAATTTAATGATATCGGTTACATAATGCAGAATATCAACTTAATACTTGAAATTAATACTGACTAATTGATAAAATAATATTGTAGATTATTTAGATTAAAACCACAGATGATTTGATACTTTAAAGAATAATATTAAAAAAAGATTGACAAAATCATAATTAAAGAGATAGATAAGTGAATAGATAGATAGATAGATGGATAATTCCATGTTTAATGTTCAATGATCACTATTGCAAATGACCATTTAAAACCAAATATTGGTTATTATCAGAAGTGGTTTTGTGGATATTATAGTAATTTTATTAGTTGAGATCATGAATCAATTGAAGCTAGACCACCATTAAAAACCTAGAAGCACTAGATGGCCATTAAAGTTAGACATTAACACCGTTGGATGCAGACTCAGTAGTCTAGAAGTTAAGTGGTCGCGCGTGAAACTGATAGGTCCTGAGTCCGAATCTCGCAGGCCGAGATCGTGGTTGCGCATTACTGAGGAGTCCCAGAAATAGGATGAAACGGCCGTCCAGTGCTTCCAAATTTTCTATGGTATTCTAGCTTCAATCGATTCAGGATCTCAACTAATCAAATAATGGTATTGCTAATTTTAAATCTTTAACAAATGGATACAGAAAAAAAACAATGACAGTGATAAATTTGTAATGAATAAATTATTGAATATGATCACTTAGATATTTCACTATCAATATTATATTTTATCAATGTTATATGAATATCTATTTATGTGTATGCATATCATGTATTATTTTGACCTTAAATTTTCATTAAATTTCACCTAAATTGCCTGATTAGTTCAAATTCATCCAGTTTATGATGTGTAATTAAAGAGATGTTGATTTTGTTGGGGGTATATTTAGTTGTTTTTCATTATTGATCATTTAAAAAATAAAGATCAGTCAAATAATTTCATTATTATCATTACACTTTTTGATTTTCGATTCATAAGAAATATATTATTAATATCGGTTAGTCTGATAGTTTGTCATCTATTCTAGTATAAATTAATTATAATTGAATATATACTGTTAAAATAGAAAACAGATAATATTAGAAGAGGTTTTGTAGATATTATAATAATTTTAATAGTTGAGACCATGAAACAATTAAAGTTAGACCACTATGGAAAACCTGGAAGCATTGGACGGCCGTTTCATCCTATTATGGAACTCATCAACAGTGCGCATTCATGATCTCATCCAGTGTTTCCAGATTTTTCATAATGGTCTGGCTTCAATTGATTCATATTCTCAACTATTAAAGTTAGATAATAGAATATTAATTATATTACCAAGATATTACTGCAGAAAATTATTATTAAAATAGTTTCTTTACTCAATGAAAATTTTTAAGTTTGAAATTTCAATGTTAAGAAGTTACTTTGAATTCATTTTTATGAACGTTCATTATTCTTTTTTTCTTTTTATTTTCTATGATATTAACAATCTTTTACAGTTATCGTAAACAAAGATGGATAGTGGCTAGCAGTGGAATCCAGGATGTGCATTTCGTCCTTTTTGGGACTGCTCAGCTGGATATACCTTCATCTCATAGTTGATGTTCACTCTGAGACTCGAACCTAATACCATTTTCTTCAAATGCCATCGCGTTATCCACTCAGCTACTGAGTCCTGATAGCCACTTGCTTGTGCAATGGGGTAAAGTTTAAATTCAATTATTATTGTTTGTTTGAATCTTCTCATTGATGTTTAGGACTGCAATTGGTCAGTCTCTAATTGGTATATGTGCATACTGTGCATATTGCCTCGATATAGCCACTATCCATCTTTGCTTATAATGCTTGTGAATTAAAGCTATATCAAGGCAATATTCACAATATGCCAATAAAAGACTGATTAATTACAATCTTAAAAAACATCAATAAGAAGATTTAAACAAACAATAATAACTAAATCTTATAAATATCATTCATGGTGGTCTAGCTTCAATTGACTCACGCTTTAAACTATGATAAATGTCATTCAATAAAATTGTAGTTTCTATATAGTAATAATATTCAAACAAATATTTCATGTATAGGGAGATATTTAAAGAAAATCAAATTAACCAATAGGATGAGTCGATTTAACGCGATTAAAAATAATACAATATTTCTATTGGTTAATTAATTTCAAGACAAATGATTGGCTTAGAAAAAATATTTTTTTATTATTTAATATGATTGTGTATTGATATAATAATAATAATAATAATTAAGATAGATTCTAAAATCAAACTTTTATTCCCTTATTTACTTTTTATACATAATTGTTTATTTCTTTCCAAACTATTCATCAAAGGGGAAATATGAATATTCTTTAATTTATAAAAAAAAAGAAAAGAGATGGATTTAGGATTTTCAAAATTAATCAATAACAATTCCATGTATACTAATTATTATTCACCAATTCATAATAATACATCCAAATTACCTTATTCAATCACTGATCCATTCATTCATTATAATACTAATACTGATATATCATCATCAACAACAACGACAACAACAGCAACTATGTTAAATGAACAAACTATGAATGAACAATTAAATAATTATTCATCCAATGATATGTCAATGAAACGATTGAAATTAGATCCTATTCAACAATCAATTGAATATGATTCATCTAGAAATTGTAATAGTACAAATTCTATTGTACCATGTGATTTACGTGCTGACAACAATGAAATCAATTATGATATTAATCATCAATTAAATGTAAATAATAATACACAATCAATGCATAATAATAATAATACATTAGAACATGTATCACATGTTACAAATTATAATTTTTGGCATAAACTTAATTCTTATCCAATATTCCCTTATCATCATACTATGACTACTCATAACTCCACTAATACTACTACCACTACTACTACTACTACTACTACTAATAATAATAATAATAATAATAATAATAATCACATATCGAATTATTATGATCGATATATGTATAATACAGCATTTCGATATCCACATCCTTCAAATAATTCTGCATACAATTTATCGATATTCCCACCCTATCCTGCAACTGGAGTGCCATCTAATTATTACCACCATCAACAACAACAACAACACAGTCAACTAGAGTCGAATATCATGTTAGATTCGAAATTGTCAAATACATTCCCTTCAGTTATTAATGTATCACAGACATCACATTCACCATTAATTACAATGAATGCAAACACTACTAATAATTTACATATAAGTAATGCTTTATTTTCATCTCATGTGAATAGTAATAATGTTAATGCATCAACTGCAATTGTTAAAAATACCTTTTCTACTATATCGTCTGTGATTACGTCATCTATTACGGATAGTCATACCGATACCATTAATAGTAATCATTGTAATCAGAAAAATTTAAAACGAAAATCAATAAATAATTATGATTATAATATAAGATTACAAGAAGATATAAATAAAAATAAATCGGTTAATAATTTATATGAAGCATCAAATATGTTAAATGTTAATAATGATGATGATTTAATTGATAGAAAACATGAAAATAGTGAGTTAATGAAATTTTTAAAAATAATAATTTAAGTATCAGAAGGGGTTAGTTTAAGATTTTGGTAATTTTATAGAGTTGAGATCATAAGTCAATTGAAGCTAGATCACCATCAAAAACCTGGATGCACTGAAGGAGTCCCATAGTAGGATGAAACGGTCGTCCAGTGGTTCCAGGTTTTCGATGGTGGTCTAGCTTCAATTGGCTCATAATCTCAACACATGAGTGAACATCAACTCTGAGATGCAGGTACATCCAACTGACTAGTCCCAAATAGGACGAAATGTACATCCTGAATCCAACTGTTAGTCACCATCCTCTTTTGCTTATAATGCTTATGACTTAAGGCAATATATCGAGGCAATTCTGACAGGATGCACATTTGCTAATAAAAAACTGATCAAATACATCCCTAAACATCAATGGAAAGATTTAATTAAACAATATAAAATGAATAATTTAAGTTATACACATATTTTTTTCTTTACATGATACCACTAAATAACAGAGAAAGTACCAGATAATTTTTATTCGACCAGAAAACTGGATGTTAAAAGTGATCAAATGAAGATGTAATATTAATCCACAGACTGGATAATAGTTGAACTGAGATATACTTCTAAGTGTACACTTCCTATTAGGGGGGGCACTGGAATGACCGTAATGATTGTTAGTAGATGTTAGGTGATATGACTTAGAACCAGTTGTAATAATACATATGGATTTACTCGTTTTTTTCTCTTAGATGGTGAATCTTAAAATTATTTTGTGACGAGTAAAAGTATAATTACTAGATGTAATGTACGAGTTGGTAATCCTCAAAGATGATCAATCAGTCAGTCAGTCAGCTACAACGTAGGACCAGGCACATATATGCATCGGTCCAAGTTGCCATACCTCTTTAGCACAACAAGATGAACACCGGATTCATAGAAGTAATTAATTTAGTGGTGGTAGTATATAAGGAAAGGTTGTATATAAGGATATAGTAGGAAGGAAGAGAGATATGAAGCAATTTTAATATCAAGGTTTAAGGGAAGATATAGAGTGTATACACCTACGCCATTGTGATCGATTCTGAGCCATGTCACCTAGAGTCTCCAACCATTTATTACGATAGTCACGCGGACCCCAACCAGGTAGTCTGCATCTGCCAACATGGCTCAGGCTAGAAGTTAATGACTTCAAGCACTGATGCCATGTTTTGGTTTGGCCGCCCCTAACTCTCTTCCAACCGTCCCCAATACTAGTCATCATAGCGCGTCGTGGTAATCGGTGTTCAGGCATACGTAACACATGGCCCAACCATCTCAGTCGATGAAGATTTATCACCTCATCAACTGATTTACCATCGTTACCTAATACCCTGCGTCTAACCTCACTATTACTTACTCGGTGATCCCAGCAGATGCGAGCAATATTTCTAAGGCATCTGTGGTCAAATACTAGTAACCTACGAGTATTTTCTACTCTTAATGGCCATGTTTCGCAGCCGTAAAGTAGAACAGAACGAACTGCTGCGCAGTATACTCGTCCCTTAATTGATAGACGGATATCTCGTCTTCGCCATAGGTGACGTAAGTTGGCAAAAGCCAAACGAGCTTTTTGAATCCGTGCTGAGATTTCGTCAGACACCAACCCATTAGGACTGATCAGACTTCCAAGATAAGTGAAGTTGTCAACGCGTTCGACTACTTCACTCCCTCTCCTTAGTTCGAGTGTTGACGTAGGCCAGTCCTGGAGTAACAATTTACATTTGGATGGGGAGAAACGCATCCCAAACATCCTGGCATTATTACTCAGTTCCAACAAGATGATCAATATGTAATCTAGTACATATAAATAAACCAAAATTCAAGTCAGAGATAAGACAGAATACACACCTGAAGGTATATTGTAATGCGATCAGTAATACACAATGTAATCCTCAATATATATAATACTTATGCTTTCAATCCCTCAATCTTCTAGAATCGTACAATATGTATTCAGTATTTTTTACTATCACTGATAATATTACTACTTCTAATACTCTGATATTTATCATGAACTGTCTATCCACTGATCGAAGTTTATATGTTTCAAAAATACCTAACAACAACCCGCTCACATGAATTGTTGACCAAAAAAGTTAAGCGCCAGCGGTGAGACTTAAAGCTCTTCGGTTTAATCCACAACGAAGTCGTAATACGCACAAGTGAGAAGTCAAATGCTAAGGCGAAACAATTACCTAATGTTTCCTTGTTTTCAATATTTATCTAATTTAAATCGGTTTGGAATCTCAAATAGCGTTTTTATTCAATATTCACATGTTAATAGTCACATGCCAAGATGAAACAGTTTTTATTATATTGAGATGTTATGCTTATGAAAATGATCGCAGTGGTTGTGATGAGTATTGTGAAGATTGTACATTCTTTATTAATTGATTGTCAACAAATGCTACACTTTAGGACATCTCAATTTTTTTCTAATAAATAGGGTTTTGGAATGAACTTGAAACTGTCACGAAATATATTGACTAATTTAATAAACCAAATTAAATAGTTGGAGATGAATCTAGATGTCATGCAATCAGGCATTCGTCAGTAAAGGATACTTTTAATCCTGAGGAAATTGATGCTCCGCGGCTAACTTAATTCTTTATCATCAAATATCAACCGTTTCGTTGGTAATCTTCATACAGAATTAATAAACAGCTATGAAATATGTAGAAAGTACGCTTTCAGTTTTGATTAACATATTTTGTAAAGAAGACTTCTAGTACTAAATTCCTCAAATCCTCTGGTACGGTCGAGGATGTGTAGAGTCACCTCTTGCTCTCCAAATGCTCTCATATGGTCACACGCATAAAACCACTTCCAGGAAAGCCCTACTCACTGCTTTCTTGCGGTCGATGTGTTGTCTACAAAATTAAGAGGGCGAAAAGTGAATATCCGGAGCTTTAGCCGGGTTGGTGGATATGAAGGATCTAACAAACAGAGTTGAAAAATCCTAATTCCAAATCAATGGGGCACACGGAATCCAGGATCTTGAGTGAGCGATTAGAGTATGAACCTATTGTTGGTCACCGGCTATCAAAGGATTATGTCTCTTAACGTTGTCCCACTACTTTGTGAATTAGACCTTTAGGTCAAAGGCTCGGGTTTGTGTGCCTGGGCAGTACTCTAACTCTGAAACAAAACGAATGATGAAGTGTGTTGCATAAATATTAAGTGCTTTGTACCAATGTTTATGTGTGTAAATAATAATATTAAATAAATATTCAAATTAAAATAAGTGGAACAGTGTTCGAACATTCATTATACCGTTTGATGAAAGTCAAAGCCTTAGAGTTAGCTAAATAATGGCGTTGTTACGATGTAAACGACTAAATCTAATAAAGAAATCCTGACTCATACTATTGATTAGATTACACTTTTAGATTGTTGACCAAACCATTACGTTGTGAGTCACAAACAAACAAAATTAAGTACAACGATATCGTCATGAAATACACTTGTAGTGTAGCTATCAAGGGATTTACTTAACCTCCATTATTCTCTATTGAATAGTCTACAAACACTACTGTGTGCGTATGTATCAATCTCAATTCATTTGAATTAGTTCCGTCATGAGCGATGAGTGATAGTCACCTGTTGTTAAATTACTTTGATTACGTAACTGTGAGTGGATTTGGAAACATGCGAATTACGTAATAGATCACATTGCATTATTTAGTTACTATCTCCAAACATAAAACGTTATGTCATCAAGGGTTAGATTTTTACGTAAGATATTACTAACCAAGTTATGATTTGAATACTCCATGAAACTCTCCCTTTCTCTCTCACTGTGTAGGGGTTCAAAAAGGAAAGGGTCGAATAAACTTATTCTTGAGCTGAGCTCAGTTATTTTGTCTCCAAGTCAAAAATTAATACACACTTCCTTATTTTCTATTGTTTTAAAAGAAACCTAACCTTAGTAACTAAATTTAAATTCTGTTTTCTATTTTTTGTTGTTCTTGTTTGGTTGTGAATTCGGTTTTTTTGTAAAAATTAACTTGCAATCGATTACTTATCAATTAGTCATTTTAGTGTACTTGAATTATTGATTTAAAAGGTGTTGAAAAAAGCAGATTCAAAAAACATCGAAATTCATATTTTAAGGAATAATCTTATTTTAATAGTTAAGATCATGAGTCAATTGAAGTTAGACCACCATGGAAAACCTGAAAGCACTCGACGGCCGTTTCGTCTTATTGTGGGACTCCTCAGCGGTGCACATTCACGATCCCGCCCTGCGACATTCGAACCCAGGACCTATGTTGGTCTCGCTTCAACTATTAAAATTATCATATCCACAAAAACCCTTACTTACTTACTTACTTACTTACTTACTTTCGCCTGTTACTCCCAATGGAGCATAGGCCGCCGACCAGCTTTCTCCAACCCACTCTGTCCTGGGCCTTCTTTTCTAGTTCTTTCCAGTTCTTGTTCATTGTTCTCATGTCTGTCTCTATTTCTCGGCATAATGTGTTCTTTGGTCTTCCTCTTCTCCTTCGACCTTCAGTCTTCCATGTAAGGGCTTGTCTTGTGACGCAATCAGGTGATTTCCTCAAGGTGTGCCCAATCCACTTCCAGCGCTTCTTCCTGATTTCTTCCTCCGCTGCAATCTGGTTTGTTGTCTCCCACAGTAACTTGTTACTGATAGTGTCTGGCCATCGGATCCGAAGTATCTTGCGTAGACAGCTGTTAATAAACACAGCTGTCTACTGAATAATTTTATGTTAGTAAAATAAGACTGAAGCAATAGTTTAAGCTAATTTTAAAACATTTCGAATTTTAAACGATGTCTCATTCCATGTCCAAGATAAGTTAAATGTGAGCAGTTAATTAGTGTTACTTAATTTTAACAATAAGTTATAATAAGAGAGTTGTAGAGATTGTTGGATTTCGTTGAAATCATGAACTGATCTTTGTTGAACCGTCATAGATTCATGATTTCAGTGAAATATAAGA